TCCAACTCAGATCCCTCTACCCCCCCAGTACTGTGCCCTCTGACGCCCACCCCTCTCACCTCCCTCTACCCCCAGCTCTGTGCCCTCGGACGCCTAGCCCAGGCAGCAGTACTCACTTTGCTCTGCCCTGGCTCCTCCTGCGGGGCTGCTGCCGCCATCCCAGTGGTCGTGTCCCTGGTTGCTAGGCAGGCAGGGCTGAGGGGGTGGGCCCAGAGTGAGAAGGTTCCGTGGCCAAGGCGGGATCCCTGCTGCGCTCGCATGGCACCCTGTGAGCCCGGCCTGTGAGTAGGGTGACCAGATGTCCCGATTTTATAGGGACAGTCCCGATTGTTGGGTCTTTTTCTTATATAGGCTCCTATTACCCCCCACCCCGTCCCGATTTTTCACACTTGCTGTCTGGTCACCCTACCTGGGAGGGAGGGGCAGGGCTTGCAACAGCCCCTCCCATGCTGAAGTCACTAACCTGGGTGATGGGCAAAATCCTGGTGTCCCATCGAACTGCAGCCAGCTAGGAAGGAGAGGCGGTGAACCTGCCCCTGAGCAGGTGGGCTTGTCTGATGGGGGTCAGGACTCCCGGGTTCCATTCCCAGCTCTGCCACTGACTCACCGTGGGCTTGTGGGCACTTGTTTTCCACCAGCACTGCTCCAGTGGTGTCTGGAGCAGACCAGACTTTTGCAGTCACCCATGTTCTCTACCCTAGGGTGACCAGTCAGCCCATTATTAGGGGCTTTGTCTTATATATGGAACTATAAACATCCCCTCCCTCCAAAAAAGAGTGTCCTGATTTTTTACACCTACTAGCTGGTCACCCTACTCTATTCCCTGGGATTCTGAGACGGATTAGATGACATGATGTTAAACATACCGATAGCCGTCAGGAGTCTGGTTCCACTGCCAATGCAAACATTTGAAAAATCACAAGACGCCCCAAATTATGAAACTGGTTTAAAAATTAGGAGATTTTAACATTAATATATTTGGGATTCTTTGCACTTGCCTTCTGGTTTGGGGACATTTAGAGGTCAAGTTTTCAAGCTTTTCTCCCCAGCCTGAGGGCTATAAAGTTACTCCTTTTTCAATTAAATTATCAGGAAATAACCTGAGTCTGGCACTTGGGGCTTTAAGATAAACACCAAAAATCATAGCACAAGAAAATCACAAGAGTTGCCAACTCTGAATCTTGTCTACACTAGTGCTTGCACCAACAGTGGAACTATTGTAATGGTAGCTGTATAAGTACCTTAGATAAATAGATGGCAGGTGATGGGCCATTTAGACTAGTTCTATGTCTACAGAAACCTGTTATCTCTATAATTTTCCTCCATTGCTACCACCAGAGCAGCTGTTACCAGTGGTAACAGTACATCGCACTAGTTGTAAGGGATTTCCAGGGTAGCTTTGTTAGTAATAGAGTGATCAGAGTTCAAGGATTTTTATCCTCTAATAATACTTTATGTTTCTCTAGCACCTTCCATCCAAGGATCTCAAAATGGGTGCAGATGTGGTTATGGCATACCACTGAGATTCCTAGGTTCTACTCCTGGTTTTGCCACAGACTTTTGGTGTGACCTTGGGCAAGTCATTTAATCTCTATGTGATTCATTTTACCAGCTGAAGCAGGACAATAATTTCCTACGACAATAGGTTTGGGAGTTCATTTCTTAAATATATGTGAAGTATTTTAAGATGCTTGATTGAAAAGAAGGGAAGTTCCATTAAAAAAATATTACTATGAATTAAACCTCACTTTCCTCCTTTACAGCTGTATTAACCCCATGTTATAAAAACCGAAACACAAAGGAATGTTACCAAAACAATAGAACCCAGCAGTCCTGACTCTTAGATTCCAGCTCCATATTACTTCTGTATGTTCAACAGCCATGTGGACCTGGGTTTAAAGCTGCCATTTACATCTATGATCCAAATGGATAAAATAATTTGAGAACGGAATCCCATAATGTGGATCATTACAACGTGATGTTCATCCCATAGTAGTGATGGAACTTTTTTCTTGCCCAAATGTCAACTGAGGGAGACTTTTCTGAGGCATCCTTGTCCAGTACTAGTGCCATGCAGCGTGACTGATACTGTGATACACGGCCCTCATCAGCTACAAATGCATGAAAGCTGATTCCATCATGGGACCGACAGGTCAAGGAGGTTGGTCTGACCTGCCATCTTTGATACAGCCTCCAGGCATGAATCCTGTGCCTGGTAGCTCTGCCAACAAGCAAGCAGTTGAAGGCGCTTGGTGCGTTACACAAGTCACCAGCTCTTCCAGTCTGATAAAGAGACCAGCAAAGATTAAACGAAAGGGTCCTCATATCTGGTCAACCTATCATAAAGGAAACCAAGGGCAGCCGGCTTACAGTGGCTGAGCACTTCCGCCCACAAGGAAGATGGCCACGTCTGCAGACCACGTGGCCTGCGCCCTTCCTGCACCATAATCAAAATGGCAACGCCCATCAAACCACGTGGTGTGAATCCCTTCTGCCCGCAAACAAGATGGCACTGCCACGTGGTAGGGTGCGGTCTTTGTGATTGGTCGCAGTGGGCGTGACGCTTTAGAAGCGGAGAGGCTGCTCCTAAGGGGTGCTTGTGGCCTGAGGTCTCAGCGGCGCCCAGTCGGCCGCTCGGCTGGGGGAAAGCGGGGGATGCTGCGGCCGCTGCCCAAGCGCCTCGGGAGGTTACTGAGCCGCACCATGAGCCACCGCGAGGCCGATCCGCGCGCCGCCGGGAAGCGGGTCCTGGTAGAGAGTGGGCGGAGGGAACACTTCCGGGGTCACCGGGGGAGAGCAGGCGCGGGAGGAGGGATCACTTCCTGGTCATGGGGGGATGGGGTCAAGGGAAGGCAGGTCCCGTGGGGGAGCCAGGAGCGCCAGAGAAACGGGGCCTGGGCCCCAGACACCCCCGCATGCTGTAGAAACTCCACGGCCCACCTGTGCCACAACAACTGTTTTTCTCCATGTAAAATCTGAGCTGGCATTAAGGGGTAGGAAGCAGGGCAGTTGCCTGGGGCCCACGGCATAAAGGGCACCATGGAACTTAAGTTGTCAGGCTTCAGCCCCAGGTGTTGGAGCTCAGGGCCCCGGGCTGCGCTCCTGCATGGTGGGGCTTCAGCTTTCTGCCTGGGCCCTAGCGAGTCTAATGCCAGCCATGCTTGGCGGACCCCCTGAAACCAGCTCGCAGCCCACCAGGCCCCTGGTTGAGAACTATTGTGCTGGAGGATGTCAGCACGGCCCATGGACCAGCCCCTTAAGTTCCCCAAGCTGCAGGAGAAATAGCTCTGGGCAGCGCTAGCCCATGGGCGTGCTGGCTGCTTGCTGGAAGGCCGGTTTTCTGTTCCACATACTGTCCCTTGTTGAAATGGAGAAAGTACACTCAGATCTGAAGTGTCGTGAAGCACCCAGTAGGCTCTATGCTGGGGGGGGGAGCATCAATGCACAGGTCCCAAGATTGTATCGATTTGCAGACAGCAGTTTCAGATGTGACTCCATGTGCCAACTCGCTGCATCTGCATATAGATACACACCTTTAATTCTAAAACCATGATTCAGAACTGTATTTGAGTGGAACAAAATAGAAGTTAACAAATAGCATAATCCAGTCATAAATTCTCCAGCCTCTTTCTGACTCTGTAGACTATGTACTTTGTAGGAGCAATTCCATCTCTTGAACCTTCCTCCCTTTGACCCTTATATGACTAATGAGAACATTCACAATGACATTGGATAAGATAAAATATGCAAGGGGAGTGACAATTCAAGACCAAAGCCAATGTTTGACAGGTTAAGAAGAAATTTCCCCCATGTTCAGGTTATTTTCTAGTTGCCCACTACTACAAGGACCTTGATGTCTTATTCTGAAGTATGGGGTATGAGCCCCATAAGCAGCAGTATACTGATCAAGAGGGACCACAGGTCTGATCTGTTTTGGCAATTTTTATGTTCCCTCCCAGCTGTCCCACAATACACACGCTACTTGGTTCCCAAAATAATTTATTTTGCTGCCCACCACAAAGGGTTCCATGGATGATAGATTCACAAGCCATCTTCTAATAAACTAATAATGAACAGAAAACAAACAAGACTCAGGCCTGCTACCCCACACTTCAATCTATATCTCCTGGTAATCTTTATACCTCTCACTTTCACAACTGCATTAACCTTTGCAAATGTCTCATAGTCAAATGTGATAGTGTCACTATCCAATGTCATATTGTATAGAAGTGCACCATACTTGCCTCTCCAACTACCACCCCTTCTCTCTTTCATCTCTCAACTCATCGAATGCGCGGTTTACAGTTCCTCCCCTCCAATCCAATCCCAGATCCTCTCCAATCCGCTTCTGTACCTTGCACTCCACTGAAACTACTCTCACCAAAGTCTTTAATAACCTCTATCTAGCCAAAAGTCAGAACCAGTACTGCAACCTCATTGACCTGTCATCCGCCTGTCAGCCAGGATGTTGGAATCTCCTCCTCCCTTGGCTTGTCTGACTCCATCCACTCCTGGTTCTCCTCCTTGATCTGTAATTGCTCCTTCAGTGTGTCCTTTGGAGGATCTTCCTCAACCCTCACTCCTTCTGTGGGTGTCCTTGGTTCCCTTCTCATCTCTGGGTAATCTCATCTGTGAACACAAATTTAGCTACCAGCTCTATGCTGAGGACTCCCAGATCTACTTTTCTACTCCAGACCCGTCTTCTTCTGTCCAACTAAAATCTCATCCTGACTCGGACATCTGGTGGATATCTAGCTCAAGCTCAACACGGCTAAACAGAGCTCTGAATCTTTCCCCACACGCCCTCCCCACCATCTCCTTTCTTGATCACGGTGGACACTACCACCATCCTGACTGTCACTTAGATCCATAACCCAGGTGCCATCTTTGACTCTGACCTCTCAGACCTCACATCCAGGCTGTCTAAGTCTTGCCAATTCTTTCTGCATAACATCTCTCATACATAGCCTTTCCTATCCATCCACACACATAAAACTGTTGTCCAGGCTTTCATCATTGCATTTAAATTACTGCAATATCCTTCTCTCTGGCTTTGACAAATGCAGTCTTGCCCCGCTCATAACTGTTCAGAATGCTGCTGCAAAGATCATTTTCTTAGTCCGTCACTTTGACTACGTCACTCCTGGCTTTGAATCTTCCCGTTCTCTCTCTCTTCAAATATAAGCTGCTTGTCTTCACTTTCAAGGCCCTTCATGGCCTATCCTCCCTCCTTCACTATGGAGATGTTGACTCCCACCTCTGATCGGCCCATGGTGCCAGCCTATCGCCCACTTTCTCCTATGCTGTGCCACACGCTTAGGAGACGCCCCCGATAAACATCCACAAAGCTACCTCATTATCCACATGCAAATCCCTCCTTAAATCTTTCCTTTTCCTTGATGCCTAAAAAATACTTGATATCATCTCATTGTTCTCTTGTACTCTACCCATCTGACTGTATCATCGGTTTGTGAACTCTTTGGGATAGGGACTTGTTTGCACAGCACCTAGCACAATGGGATCTTGGTCCTTCCCTAGGGCCCCTCGGCACCACAGTCAGACAAGTAATAAATGTTGCCATTTCTCCTTGAAAATGATCTTACGACACCGTGTCAATGTACTGTGATTTCACAGCTGGAACTCACCTTCTTTGGATTATGCTCTTTGCTCTGCCAACTGCAGTTACCTAAGGGACTTTGTCTCCCCCACGTACGGATAAGAAATCACGGGACAGATACGGCTCTTAGTCATCCTATGGCTTCTTATTCCTGGAGACGGGAGGTACAGCTGGTATGAGTGGGGGGACAGGGATCACCTAGGTCACTAAACTCATTTTGAGCATCTCACTCAATCTCAGCACTAAATCCATCTCAGTTCTGTTTAACAAGAGAGCAACAGGCCCTTGTGCCTACAGAGTCTGGCCCTACAGTAATCAACGATGGTGATTGTCTTGCTGCTTCTAAAGGGAAGCAGCTGGTTTTGCTGGGTGAATTTCCTGCCCTGGTCGTGAAAGGAGCAGGGCTGCAGGGAGGGCAACTATGATCCTCACTACATCACAAGGGCTGGCTCCAGTGACTCTGGTTGGTTGGATGCTGATGTAGAGAGAGTCCCGGTAACACCGGTTGCTGGTCCTCTTTGCAGGTGGCAGGGCTGGGGAATTATGGGCTGCGAGGAACCCGACATAACGTGGGAATGGCGGTGCTCAATCATCTGGCCCAGAAGTTGAACGTCGCTGCCCAGTGGAAAGTGGACAGACGCTGCTGTGCAGACGTGACCATCACTAATGTGGAGGAAGCAGAGCTGGTGCTGATGAAACCTCGGCGGCTCATGAACATCAATGGACTCAGTGTAGCAAGCGCTGGTGAGTGACTCCGAACACTTCCAATAGCCAGCTGAGCAACACACACAACTCGAGCCTTCCCGGGACCTTTGTGCTTCACCTTTCATCTTCTTAACCCCAGGGGACCACTCAGGACTGTAAGCAACAAGTCTGAAATACCTGCCCTGGAACTACAGGGCCCGCTCCTGCCAGGGTCCGTCTCCTTTTTCTTTTCCATGGAGACAACGATGTAACAACTCGGAGGCCTCTTAGGACTTCCTTGTTGTTCCATGGCCATTCAGGCAGCATGACAATAAGCTCAAGAAACTATTGCTTGAGCTAAAGGAGAATAGCCATTTCCAGTATAGGGCTTATGACACACAGTAGACCATATCTGGTTCTGTCCAGTAGAGGGCGGTGCACACACACTCTCCTAAACCCATTACTAATTTTTCACACCACCCTTGGGAGGTGGAGAAGATTAACTGAGTTCCATGCAATTTGCCATTTTGGCATCGCTAGGAAAAAACAGGTGGCAGGGTTCGGAACCAAGGTCCCGAGGGCTCTGCATGGACATCAGAAATCCCAGGGCAGTTTTCAGAACAGTCAGGCTTTTCCCTGGCGTGCTGGGCTGTGAGTTCCGCTCCTCACACTGTTGCATAGCCTGCTGCAAGCTAGTTGGCTACGACCTTCCAGTCCGCTGTGTTTCAGTGGTGTGGACTGTAAAGTACTTTTGGCCAAAAGACAATCACGGCGTAGAGCAGTATCATGTGGTGCAGACATCAGACAGCTCCAGTTACAGCGTGTGCAGCTCGTTTGCCAGCATGGCTGATAGTGCATTCCTGAGGTTAGAAGGCCCCCTATCCCTGCTATGCACTTCCTGCCCTCCATGTCCCCTGTCATTTTTTTCCACTGACGCCTGCAGTGTCCTTCTTTAGGTCCTCGAGGCTGTGGGATGGTGACAGATGGATTTAATTTCCCCTCACTTCTTGTGCGTTGTTTCTTTCTCAAGCTGAAACTTACGACCTCGGGGTAGAAGACATTTACCTGGTTCACGACGACCTGGACAAGCCGCTGGGGAAGATGGCGATAAAGCTGGGAGGCAGCGCAAGGTACGAAGGGAAAGCCCCTGTGGAAAATGACCTTGAAAGATTTGATTGAGCTGCATCTTATTTTGTGCGTTTTAACGGGGGCATTTGAGGCTGCGACTGTCCCATCTCCACCCCCAGGACTGCAGAGGTGGCAGCAGATCGGTGGCAGAATCTTTCTAAGCTGTGGTCACTTCTGTAGTGCTTTTACAAGCTTTAACTGACATCGGTTTACTCTGCTGTCTGCCCAACCTCCTGCAGTTTCCAGTTCAAAGCACCAGTTAAACCAGAGATATTTCAGTACATTGGGATGGCCTCAAATTGTGGGCTCTGGCACTAGGTGTGCAGGAAACAACTGGTGCCTAGGCTGCTGTGATAAAATACAGTAGACACTGCCCAGAGTGGTGTTAGGCAACCTCCCTGAGTCACACGTATCCTAGCGTAATTGACACTTGAGACCTAACAGAACCAAGACCCGTGTTTGTGGTGACAGTGATATTTGATTGAAGAGCGACCTTTCTGAATCAAGTATCAGAGGGGTAGCCGTGTTAGTCTGGATCTGTAAAAAGCAACAGAGTCCTGACGAAGTGGGTATTCACCCAGGAAAGCTTGTGCTCCGGTACATCTGTTAGTCTTAAAGGGGCCACAGGACTCTCTGTTGCTTTCTGAATCAGTTATATTAGCCACACACTTTTCCCTGGGGGTCTCCCCTCTTATTACCACATGGTCCATACCTGGCTGTGTTCAGGCCTGCCCAGTGCAGACAGCGTGTGCAGTGTATACGCCTTTCTCCAGCAGTTGAAAGCATTGGGTGCCAGAGCCCCTGCTGGGGAGTTCAGTGCAGGGCAAGGGACACTCTGTATCTGCACAGCCATATCCCTAGCCGAGCACCCTCTGTGGCAGTGGGTCACCCAGGGGGTTTGGCCCAGATCAGAGGCTGCTGCATGTGAGTGAGGCCTGCTCTGAGTATGGGACTGGGAATCATGAGCTTCTCTCTGACACCGATTGCCCCTCTGGCCATGGGCATGTCACTTAGGGTCTGATTTTCAGAAGCGCTGAGCACCCAGAACTCCAGGTGCAGTCACTGGGAGCCGCTGGTGCTCAGCAGGCTGCATGACAAGACAAGGCAAGCCTGCCTGGGGCCTCCTCTGCACAACTTTGCATCAGTTTCCCAGTGTTGCTTTGAGTGACTTGTGCTTTAGTCTAAACCGGAATAAGCTAAACCGTCCTAGGCTGCTCTTACACTGAAATCCAAGTGTCCGCGTGGGCTTTGCACCAGCTTAACTAAATTGGGGTAATGTCACACCTCTCGGTAAATCAGTGCAACTCTGCGTAAACAAGCCCAGTGCCTGGGTCTTATGTAAAGGGGGATAACAGGGCGTCCCTGCTGGCCCCAGGCTTGGGAGCAGTTACTGTTCGTACAGAGCAAAGAGGAGGGAGAGTTTAGTGTGTATCCCATGGATGAGCCCTCTGGGGTTCTCACCTACTCTGACGGCTGGTTTGTCCTGCTTTCTTTAGGGGGCATAACGGGGTCCGTTCCTGCATCAGCTCCCTGCACTCAGACGTAAGTCGGCCTTGCAGGGTGAAGAGCTCTATCATGCACACATCTTAGCAGTGCATATGTAAAGCACCATCTCTCCCCAGCCCCAGAGCCCCCTGGGAGCCACCCCCAAGGCCCTAGCCTCCCCTTGTGTTTGTGTTAGCAGACTTGGCCCTTCATCCCCCGCTCCCAGCCCAGCCCTTCTCACAGGAGTCTTGTTTCTGACTTGTCCATGAGCCCGAACGTGGAAGCAATTACCTAAAGTGGAACCACATGGCCTGGCTGGGAGCTCAGCCCACCAACTTAACTGCGTTTGTTGGACAAAACTCTTTCCAAGCTCATGTTAGCTGGAGCCCAGCCTGAACCCAGGGAGACAAAGGAACAGAGCGGGACACAAGCCCAGCTCCCCCACTGCTGCTGCTCTCTGCTGTGTGGGGCTCGGGGCTCTAGTGAAGCACTTAGGGTTCCCTTTCACCCCACAGGCTCCCCCTTTGACTGGTCCCTGGCTAACCAGGGTCTCAAAGCTCCCCTGCCCTCCAGCCCCACGTCAGAGCCTCCAGTATCTGCTTTGGCTCCAGGCTGTGCCAAGCATGTTTAGCACTTTGTAGCGACTGCCACGGTGTCCCGAGAGCCCAGCTCGGGTGAATGCAGGCGGAGCAGGTGGCGAGGGGGAGATTACACACAGCACACACTGCATCCCCTTCTCTCCCTGCAGTGCATGGTGCGGCTCAGGGTTGGCATCGGCCGGCCGGTGGGGGAAGCCATGGTGGATCGCTACGTGCTGGGCCGGTTCACCAGCGCTGAGCACGAGGTCCTGCAGCGCATCCTGGAGCAGGCGGCCGACCTCCTGCTGGAACACATCCTGCAGAGGAGCAGCGGCAAGGACCACACGCCCCCTGGCGACACGGGGGACAGGACACCTCCTTAACCCCAGGAGCTGGGGGAGTTTTTATGAATATGGTGCTGACGGAAAGCAGTGGTCCTGGACTCCTTCATGGGCCTCTGGGCACAGCTGCCGGGGTGGGCTGGGGGAGCTAAGCAGAGAGCACTGACCCCAGGAAGCTCCTGGCAATGAAACTGGTGGGGGAGGTGGCGGACTGCCAAGCAGGTGCTATTCCTGCACCCCCCCTGCACCCCCCTGTCAGGTGACAGGCTTCTCCCAACCCCACTAGCGCTGGCAAAGGCAGCCCGGTAGATGGCTTGGCTCCACCTGGCCAAGTGCCCGTGCCTGGCGCTGCAGCACCATGGGGAGTAAGGAGGAGCCCGAGAGAGACTCCAAGCCCCAACCAGGCTCCACCCCAGACCCCAGCTGGAGGCTTGTCGTGGTCAGGGGCGCCTGCCTCCTTGCCCAGCTTGGGATCACTGTGTCCCAGCAGCACCTTGTCCCTGCCCCTGCAGAACAGGTCTGGGACTTGGTGTCTGGCCTGGTCTCAGCTTTGCCTTGTCCGTCCTTGGTCCCCAGCCAGGCACTTCAGTAACTCCATCGTTTTATAGGGCAGTTTTGCATAGACTGTACAATAAACCCAGGCGCCCAGTCGACACACGCTTTGCCATCTACGTTCAGTCCCTCTCCTCTACGCAGGTGCTGGGGGCAGGGGAGGGAGCAATCGGCTGGCAGGAAGGGGAGCTCCCTCCCTCCCAGCGTGTCCCTATTTGGTCAGCAGGCCCTGGAAGGAGTGTCTGGCCGCTATCTCTGGCAGGGGCAGAATCGGCTGCTGCTTCACCCGTTTCTCCTCCGACCAGGAAGTCATCAGTGGCTATTGGGAAACGGGCAGTGATTCAAACACTGTCACGCCGGTCGGTCACTCCATCCCTCTCTGGGGGCGGGGCAGGGCAGGCCAATGCCTCTGGCGCTTGGATACGCTTCCCCTGACCCTGTGGGTCCATGGAGGGAACCATTAGGAGCAGGGACAAGGGGCCGGGTGGGAGTCAGTCTTGGTGCTCACCTCAATCCTCAGCCTCTCTGCTGAGCCTGTCCAGCCCTCCCTGGGCGACTCGCTTTCTAACCTCCCAGGATACCCCTGCCCTGCAGCCAGCCATGGCCCGAGCCCCCCTCACCTCCGTGGCGCTGGCGTAGGTGCGGACGGTCCCGATGCGGGTGGTCTTGGACAGCAGACCCGTCTTGCTCATGCTGTGGAAGAGCTGCGCCCCCTGCCCCCGCTGCACTAGCAAGTGGTGCGAGATGACGGGAGAGGTCTTGAGGCCTGGGGCTGGGTGCAGCTGGCTGGAGCGGAGGAGAAAGGGGCTGGGTTAGACCACGGGACATGGGGGATTTGACCTGCTGCCCTGAAGGCAGAGACTAGAATGGCATTGGCGGGAAGATACTGCAGAAGGTGGGAAGTAGAGTAAGGGTAGGGTGCCTCCTAGGGCGAGCCTCCCCAGCTCAGACTTAGCCAGGACAGGCGCTGAAGGCAACTGTGCACAGCGGTCGCCAGAGAGGATCAGCCAGATTTGGGGGAGGAGGGGGAGGCAAGCAGACAATCAGAGACCAGAGTGGAGAACTGCACGCTCAAGGGATCAGCAAGGAGAGCGAGATGGAGCCAGCGCAGGTCAGTGCGGGTGGGAGTTTGCAGCCGTCAGATTGCTGGTGGGTGGCCTGTGGGGAATGAGCTAAAGGTGATCTCTGAGGGTCTCATCTGCCATGCGTCCCCTGGAGGGCTCTAGGAGAAGTCGGGGGAGATGGGAGTCATGACATCACAGGAGCAGGGAGGCAGGTTTTATGACATCGCAGAGTTGGAAGGCGGAAACACAACCACGTGTCACACAGGACTATAGAGGCCAAAAAGGTACAAGCCCATTTCTCTCCCCTTTGCCTCTGGGGGTCTGGCCTGGCCTCCAGCTGGGACCTGCCTCTCTTGGGTGCGAAGAGATGCTGGGGTAGGGGCTGCATGGGGAGTGGGGCTATTCCCTGCATTTCCTACTCACCTCTCTGCAGGGGACTCCAGTCCATGCTCCCTGTTGGCCGTTTTCTGGGGCCCGAACACCTGCTCCTGATGCGTGGGCCCAGCCGTGGTCCCCCGCCTCAGCAGCCCAAGCAGGCTCCGCAGCATCTCCTGGTGGCGCAGCTGGAACATCATGTCAAAGTCGCCATCCTCCTCATCAGACGGCCTCTCCTGTGGGGCAACGAAGCGGGGGAGGTGAACCGAGGGGAGGGGAAACGGCACTGCAGCTCCTGCTCCCCCCGCATGACTTGAAAGCACAGGGGTTGGACCTCCACTGTAGGCAGAGGAAGCCCCACAGTTCAGTCTCCACTACCATCGCCCTGGCTCCCGCATTCGGAGTGCACCCAGAACCTGGCAGCTCCAGTAGGTGAGGGAAGTGCCCATCTAACAAAGGATCAGGCCCTACGGCCGTTCAGAACAGCGGGCAGGGAGCCGGAGCCGGTGGGGGTTGGGCTGGTTGTAGGTTGAAGCCAGACTTTAGTGGGGTTCCCCAGAACAGTAGCCCAGCATCTCTTGGCTCTTCCCCACCGACTCCACCTCCCCCCAGCTGGAGGCCTCCTGTCCCCCAGCACAGGACATGTCGTCGGATCCTCACTCAGATGCAGCCAGGGGTTCAGTAAGAGCCTCAGCGCTTGGCATAACGGGAGGATTTCTAGCCCCCACCGGCAATAAACACCATTTACGTGCTGGGTTAGGGCGTCTGCCCCAGCAGCCTGCAGCATGGACCCATCCCCCCCATGACTACCCTCCAACTATACACCACAGTCTAGCACCCCCTATAGGGGAGAAGGGAAATTACAGAGAGTCCGGACAATGTAGCCCTGACACATTCTGGTTTGGTGCAAAATAAAGAGCTGGGAACAGCTGCCACAGAAGATTCAGTGCCAAGGTCCGGGGTGGGTGTTTGTACAGAGCAAGATGCTGGTGGCTCAGATCTGAAAGAGTCCAGGGCTCTGGGTGTGGTCAGGGCAGACCCATCAGGAGGCACGGCACATGTGCCATGACGTCTCACCACAATGTGTGCTTGGAGGCACAACACCATGGTGAAGCCATTGTGCTCTCCCAGATTATCACAGCATCTACCTTAAGTGACACAGCATCCCCGAATGGATGCAAAATCCATTCCTATTAATGTCAAGTCTTCCCTAATTGACACAACATCCTCATTGCCTGATGCAAAATCAATTCCAGCCAAGTCAACACAGCACCATGATGTGAAACCCCAGATAGTTCAGGACTCTGGAATTGTCCCATGAGCCAGCCTCTCACGATAGGGACTGAGCCAAGGACAAGGGCAGCAGATGGTCCAGTGGTTAGGGGGCCAGCCTGCGTGTCTAGAGGCCTGGGTTCAATTCCTAGCTCCGCCGCAGACTTCCTGTGTGAGCTTGAGCATGTCT